AGTTTAATAAGGTTTTATCAAGATGATAAAAGTCTCGTTAGAAAAATTGAAAAACTCAACTACAAGTTGAATAATGCCGAAAACGCAGTGATCTTTATAAATAATGGTATTTATGAGTCTAAACTCTACATATATATATATACATATATATATATATACATATATATATACATATATAAAGATATATATATAATAATATAAACATTTATGAAGCGCCCATTCGCACAGCTGCTTCAGAGGCCGTGTTAAAAAGATGAGTCTTTAATCCCTTTTTGATAAGACTCAACGAGGAACATTGTCTTAACTCAGGAGGTAACGCATTCCAGACATACGGAGTAGCGTTACGAAAACCGTGGCCAGCCAGGCGGGATCCGGCAACGGGAATGTTTGGGAAACCTGTTGAGCTGCTGCGGAGTGATCTAGTATGTTCATGTCTGGATTTGAGGTCGTATAGATATGTGGGGATTTTAATGAAAGGGTTTTGAAGGTAAGGACTGCAATTTTGAAGATGATTTGAGCGGAAATTGCAATATATATATATATATATACATACATATATATATATATTTATATATATATATAAATATATATATATATATATATATATATATATATATATATATATATATTGGTAATGAACCATAATTTTTATAATATTCTTTAAATTCAACCGAATATTTATAGTTCGTTTTTTCGATTTTTCTCACTAAAGTTTTTTGGAGACATTTAGTTTATTAAATTTCAAAATAAACTTTCGAAAAATAAGTTTATTTTGATTTTTAATAAACTAAACATTTATTTGTTTATTCATATTTATTAATTATGTCTGTCAATATAGGCTTACAACGTTTCTTCGGCAGCCATCTTCAGAGCCTAGTATTAAAAAATATCATTAGTTAAATTATAATTTAAGTAGTAAAATCGAGAAAGTTAATAAAATTAAAGAAACTTATTAACAGAGGCTCTATTAATAGAAAATAGAAACTCTTAAATAAACATCTAACAACAGGCTGTGACGATTCTACCAACCTACCAACAAAGAAATTACTCACACAAAGATACAATAAAATTTAGAGTTCCTTTGTTAAAAATACTATAAATACCTGATGAATTACATATAACAATCTCACAAACTCTATTACACCGATGATTGTAAAGGTTACCGAAAAAAGCTCCTACGTAAATGTATATAAGAAAAATGCAGTCTAAAATAATTAGAAATTTTGTTATTAATTTGAATAAATTAAATAATATTGATGAAATAATTGTTCGAAAAATTGAAAAAATTAGTTACAAACTCACCAATGCGGAAAATGCGGTGATATTTCATAATAACTGTATATGCATATAACTAGAATAAATATAACGGCTTTCGCTCACTTTCAACGGTCGAACATGGAGCTTACTCCGGAGGGGAGTTGGAGGGTGATATTTGGAGTCAAAAGTTACGATCGTATATTTACTAATTACGGAATATTGCTTTTATTTAAAATGTTAAAATTTTAATTTTTCAAAATTGTTATTCAATGTGGTAATTAATTACTTTAATTTGGTATAAATTTTAAAAAATAAAATCGACATTACCGAAAATAATTAAAAGTTGAAAAAATTGAGATTCTTTGCATATCCCTGCTTCAACCCATAAGAAAGTGTATTGGTAAATAGGCCTCCCCTTGTGTATATGTGTATATTTACATATATACACATATATACATACACACATATAGTTTAGTGGTTACAGTGGTTACCATAAACAATGATCACATAACGCTGATCGATCAAAATTTTGCATTTCTTATTCAATCAATCGATCGATCGATCAATCGATCGACCGACCGACCAACCAACCAACCGACCGACCGACCGACCGACCGACCGACCAACCAACCAACCAACCAACCGACCAACCAACCAACCAACCAACCAACCAACCAACCAGCCAACCAACCAACCAACCAATCAATCAACCAACCAACCAACCAAACCAATCAATCAGTTTATAAAGTGCTATTTCCGCGATGTTCAACAGCGCCCCTCATTGAATTTTGCAAACTGATTGGTCTTGAAATCCGCTCTAAATTTAGTAAGTTACGGAGAAATATTCAGAAAAGAAGGTAGAGAGTTCCAGAGAAAAGGGCCAGAAAAAGCAAATGCAAATTTAGCAAAAGAGTGTTTAATACGAGTAAAGAAGAAGCGAGAACAAGAAAACAATCGTAAACAGAGGTGTTTAGGTTCAATTGATATATACTTAAGAAATAATATAGAGTGAGACTCTAAATTTAAAACTTAATTTTAACAGACTGATTGTTTACTTTAACATTAATGTGCAAATTTAAAAAATTATTCTTTATTTTTTAGGTAGCCAGTGCAAAAGAACAAGATATGGAGTTATATGAGAAAAGAAAGGGGCACGAGCAACTAGACGAGCAGCAGAGTTAAACGCTTTACTTAAAGGATAGAGTGTAGGATGAGGAAGATTATAGTAGAGCGAGTTACACTAATGGATCCTAGATAGAACTAAAGAAAGAACAAAAAGGAGAAGAGAAGGATCGTCAAGAAAAGGCAAAAGTTTTTTATTCTACGTAGATGAAAGTTAAAACTTTTCATTCATTCATTCAATTCAATGATCCTCTGTAGTCCCTTAAGGGACCGTTGAGGCCGATGGTATTCTTCTATCTCTCCAAAATCCTTTTCTTTCCCTCGCCATCTTCATTGAGCCCAATGTTCCAACCCCCGTCCATTCCGTGATATCATCCATCCACTTCATCACAGGTCTTCCACTTTTTTCTTCCAGTCCCTCTTTCTCATCAGTACTTTTTTGATCAGTCTGTCGTCTGTCATTCTGCAGATGTGCCCAAAGATACCCAGCTTTCTTTCCTTGACCCTTTCATACACAGTTTTTTGTCTTCCAAGTTGTTTTCTTATGGCATCGTTTCTTATCTTTTGTCTCCAACTGATTCCCAGCAACTTTCTATAACAATGCATCTCGAATGCTTCCAGTTTGTCTTTGTCTCTTTTCTTGAACGTCCAAGCCTCACATGCATACATCAATGTAGAAAACACACACGCTTCTACGATCTTTAACTTTGTTTTTGTAGATACATTACCGTTTTTCAATATTACTTTCAAAGATGCAAACATTCCTCTCGCGATTGCTATTCTTCTATCAATTTCTTTCGAACAATTATTGTCATCAGTAATGAGGCTGCCAAGATATATAAATTGGTTCACTTGTTCGAGCTTTTCTGCTCCTATCTGGAATTCATCATTGTTTCCACCTGCTTCCGAAATCATTATCTTTGTCTTACTGATGTTGATGTGTAGTCCATGTTTTTTTCCACCATCGTACGTCAACTCGATCAGTTTCTGTAGACCCTCTGCACTAGGTGCTAGCAGATCTACATCATCTGCAAACCTGAGGTCCCTTATCACTCTGCCTCCAATGTCGATTCCCTCAATATTTGCATTCTCCATTTTTTCCAAGGCTTTTTCCAACAGTGCTAAGAACAATAATGGTGATATTGGATCTCCTTGTCTACTTCCTATGTTCGCTTTGATCCAGTCTCCCAGCTCTGTACCTACCTTTACCGCCATTGTTGACTCCTCATAAAGCCCTTTCAGCACCCTTACCATTTTTATTGACACTCCCATACTTTCCAAAGTTGCCCACAAACCTTCGTGCCAGACTGAATCAAACGCCTTCTTAAAATCCACAAAACAATGAAAAGTTGTTTGACCTCTGCTTCCTGCATCTTCCAACAATAGTCTCAACATCAGAATTTGCTGGACTGTACTTTTGTCCTTTCTGAAACCTGCCTGCTCCTCTCCTAAATGCTGCTCTATGTCTTTCTCCAATCGTTCTTTCAAGATCGTCAGCATGATCTTGCACACATGGGGGATCAGTGCTATTGATCTGTAGTTGTTGCAGTCTTTCAGGTCTCCTTTTTTTGGCAACATGATCAAAATTGATTTACACCAATCTTCTGGCCATTTTCCACTGTCCCAGATTTCTTGGCACATTTTGTGAATCTCATTACATACAATTGGTCCTCCCGCTTTGATCAGCTCTATGAGAATTTCGTCTCTCCCTGTGCTCTTGTTGTTCCTCATTTTCTTCATTGCTTTCATTACTTCCTCCAATGTTATTTCCGTTTCTTCCTCATTGACTACTTTTCTTTCTTTTAAAGCCTGTAACACCTCCTTTGTATACGTGTTTTTATCTGTGAACAGGTCTTTGATATATTCCGACCATCTATCTTTGATTTGTTGGCCTTCAGTTAGAACATTTCCATCCTTGTCTTTAATAATCCTTGACGTATTCTTCAGTTTTCCTTTTAACTGTCTGACTAGCTGATACGCCTCTCTTGTTTTGTTTTGTCCAACTAGTGCTTCTACCTTTTCGCATCTATCGTTTATCCATCTTCTTTTATCTGCTCTGGCACTTTTCTTTATTTTGCAACACAGTTGTTTATATTTCATCTCATTTTCGTTGTTTTGTCTTTTTGTTGCTTTCAACTGTCTTCTTTCCTCTACGAGTTTCCAAGTTTCATCACTTATCCAGGGTTTTATTATGTTTTCCCTACTTCGCATTTTTCGGCTGCAGTCTTAAGCACTTTCTCCAAGTTACTGACTCTTGTTTTCATATCGTACTTTGTTTTTGTATCCAATTTGTTTTCTATTTCATTTCTGATGTCTATCAACTTCTCTTTTATCATTTCTGTGCTATATTTCACTCTTTTGATATTTTCGCCTGACTTTGGTCTTTTCGTTATTTTCATCTTGACGTTGCATAACACTAGACGATGATCTGATCCAATCTCTGCACTTGGAAAAGCACGGCACTGAGTAACAAATTTCATCCATTTCTGTTCTATCAAAATCAAATCTATCATGTTCGTTGTTTTTCCATCTGGTGATTCCCATGTCCATTTTTTTCTATTTTGTGTTTTTGTATTTGTTATATACATTTTTTGGTCCTTTGCAAATTCCAGCAGTCTTTCTCCTCTATTATTTCTGTTTCCTATACCGTATTTTCCCATGACTTCTTCAAAACCAATATTGTCTTTTCCGATCTTTGCGTTCCAATCTCCGGTGATTATCTTAACATCTTTCTTTGGCAGTACATTCAATGTTTGTTCCAGTTGATCGTAGAATGCTTCGATTTCTGCATCCGAGTGATCCATTGTTGGAGCATATGCCACTACCACATCAATGTCTTTCGGGTATCCCTTAAACCTCGCATACATCATTCTTTCATTCACTGGATTGTACTCCAACAGTGCTTTTCTTGCTTTTTCGCCAATAACCATTCCAACTCCATAGACGTGCTCCCTCTCTGTTCCAGACCATAATATCTTCCCACCTTCCATTTCTCCACCTCCTGTCCATCGGACCTCGCACAGACCAACTACATCATATCTGAATCGTTCAAGTTCTTTCTTCATCAACGCGTAAGCCCCTGTCTGCCACAATGACCTGACATTCCAAACTCCAACTGTCAACCCCATCTTCAGTCTATCTTTCTGGGATTCAGTAGCATACTTTACACTGCAGCCTCTAGTCCCCAAAGCTGCAGCGCGGACCTTGTTCACCCGGGCGACGTCCGAGCCGGTATGTGCATACTTTTTTTGGACTACCATCGTGTTATTAGCGTTTTTACGACAGTGTAGCAAGCTCCTGTCAACCATTCCTTTCTATCCGGACTTTGGACCGGCACTTGATATTACTGGACCGCAACTCAGGTGGTGGAGTGTGGTTTTCTGTCTGGATTTGCTCCCATAGCCTTTCCCATGAACAGATTATTGCTTGGTCTGACTCTATGTGTCTTAAACTTAATCCTTCTAATTTTGAATTAATTTGTTTTAATAAATCTAAACATTCTATTACTATTCCTCCTATTATCTTACCTGATTCTAAAACTCTTGATGTCTCTCATAAATTTCGTAGTCTAGGTTTTATCTTTGATTCTACTATGTCTCTCTCTTCTCAGATTAATAGTGTTGCTAGAAGCTCTTACTTTCATCTACGTAGAATAAAAAAACTTTTGCCTTTTCTTGATGATCCTACTCTTCTCCTTCTTGTTACTTTGTTGGTCTTATCTAGGGTTGATTATTGTAACTCGCTCTACTATGGTCTTCCTGACCCTATACTCTATCCTATAAGTAAAGCTTTTAACTCTGCCGCTCATCTAGTTGCTCGTGCCCCTTTCTTTTCTCATATATCTCCATATCTCCATATCTTGTTCTCTTGCACTGGCTACCTATAAAATATAGAATAATTTTAAAATTTGCACGCTCATGTCTAAGTCTCAATCTAAATTATTTCCTAAGTATTTATCAGATATATTAATTGAACCTAAACGTGGAGGGTTTACGATCGTCTTCTTCTTCTCGCTTTTTCTTAACTTTTGCCAAATCTGCTTTTGCTTTTTCTGGTCCTTTTCTCTGGAACTCTCTACCTACTTCTCTGACTACTTCTCCATCACTTGCGTGTTAAATTTCTTGTCACGTGGATCGTTTAATTAATTGATATAATATTGAAAGACATTAAAAGAAGAGAAATAAACTAAGCAACGTTCTCGGCTTCTTTATTATCCACCGGATCAACAGAAAAGGAAAAGTGAAGTTACATACAAAGCAAAGAACATTTGGTCCAAAGAAAAATAAATGTATATTATAAATCATAATGTTTTAATATAAAACATAAAACTTAACATTGCGAAGTTCAGAGCGGATCTCAAGACCCATCTGTTTTCAAAATTCATTGAGGAGCGCTGTTGAACATTGCGGAAATAGCGCTTTATAAGCTAATTGATTGATTGATTGAAAGATAAGTTTTTAAGAATAAGAATAGCAAGTATTATTATAAGAAATATAAAATTTAGAGATGGAAAGATATAAATCAATTTATTACAAAAAATTTAAGTTGCTTTGATTTTTTTGTTTTAAAAAATATTGAAAAATAGTGCAATGTTGGTAATTTTTATTACTAACATTTCTTAATATGTTGCAAAATTATGCGCTACATAATATATCTGCCGATTTAACATCGAGTCCTTTCTTGGTTTAATCAGCTAGTTTCTGACTGAGATTTCGTGGATGTATAGGTTTGTTGTTTTTTTGTCGCATCATCGCATTCGAACATTTTCTCGTATATAAAAAATATCGAAGTTCGTTGAAGTTGAAATGGAATTGACAACCATAAAAGTTTGTATAGATATGGCCAACGCTTTTCGTACTTACCAGTTTTAAATTAGGTAGTTGCACAAGAAAAACAAAATGAATGAAAAAAAATTTTCAACTTTTTTATTTTATAGTTTATTTCCATAATCTGCAACATCACGAGCCCAAATTTATACATACGCAAAAGACACGTTGTTATAGCAGTTTAGGCAATCCTTGAGTTTCAGACCTACTATGTTAAAAGGTCAGTGCTATAAGGCGTGCGGACGGCGAATACGCCACAGAGATGCTATAAGACGTGAAAAATCCGCACGACAAATTGAATGTGTTAATGCTATAAGGCGTGAGGCCGCACGGCGAATTCGACGTTGAGATGCTATAAGGCGTGCGAATCACGAGCGTGCGCATACATTTGAAGGGTGTAAAGCGAATTCGACGTTAAGATGAAAATAAAAAAACCATAACCCGCATGCCGAATTCGACGTTGAGATGCTATAAGGCGTGCGAATCACGAACGGGCGAATACGGCGTTTAAAATAATAAATCTTGAGAAACCCGCACGTCGACTTTGAGATGCTATAAGGCGTGCGAATCACAAACGGGCAAATACGACGTTCGAAATTATATATCGTGAGGAACCCGCACGTCGAAATGTTATGAGGCGAGCGAATCACGAGTGGGCGAATACGACGCTCAGACGGTGAAAAGTGCGAGATTCGCACGACAAATTCGACGTTGAGATGGCCGAAGTCTGTACAACTAAGTTGACGCTATTTTGACGATACAGGACGCAGTCAAAGCGCAAAATTTGACGTTTATCAAGACAATATAAAGCATTTTTGTTATAGAATGACAATTTTTAAAATAAAAAATTTATTGCATCAAGTGTCGTATAGTAACACACACAGACAAACACACGTATTTACACAGTAATGCACACGGGTACATTGTTCATGTGTTAAGACGAAACAGTTACCAAAAGACCCAAGATTGTTATATCAACACTGTCGACAAAACCACGTCCCTTTTGGTAGCCTTTTCATTTCAACACATGAATAGTGAGTGGTACCAATTTACGCAGCCATCACACTGCACCCCCGAAGTTCGAGTTTGTTTGTCTCTTCCAGAGTGATGTCTACAAACAACACAAACATACAAATTTTGTCCAATTGACCACATCTTATTTTCTAATTTTGTCCATGCTTCATTGAAAAAATATTGTTTCAAGGTGGACATATTAGCACGGTCATCTGTGCATCTTAGATCAATAATTTCTTTAACATCGTTAATTGATGCTATGCAATCCGTCTGAACAGTTTTTAGCTGTTTCTTCAGATAACTATTAATAAACAAAATTTAATTACCATTAATCATTATTAAAAACTTCATTTTAATTTTTTAAAGTATTATTATCACTTGCAACATACAATAATAAACAAAATTTTATTATCACTAATCATTATTAAATATTTCAATTTAATTTTTATTACTACCTTCCGATTTTTGCAGTATGCCACATTAACTGCTGCAGTGCAACCACACAACAAGGAAACTTTCTATCACATCAACGGCTTTTTCAACATTCACAAATCCATCTCCTAACTTTAATGACTCGGAACTCATTTTTTCAAATTAGAGTGATAAAATAACAAATTTTATTTTATTTAATTAAATTATATCAAACAAAACAATAAAAATCAAGCGAATCTTCAAAAGCCTCGCCGCTCACAACTGAAAGAAGGAGGAAAATGAACTCTTGCCAAAGATAATAAATAATAGTATTACGACGCGCAAATAAAAATTTATTTAAAAAAAAATTTTTTTTTAATTTATTTTCAATTGTAAGTAACGGAAATTTTTACAAATACTTTTTAAAATAATATTCGGCATAAAAAATAATTTTTGAACATATTTTTTCGTACGCACGCCTTATAGCAGTCTAACAAGTTCATGGTCGGCGTGCGGCCCGCACGCCCGATAGATTTATCGATGTTAAAAATTTATTTACATTTTTTAAAATTGTTTACAATTTTACATCACCATCTCCAATGGGAATAGAGAGTTACAAAAGCGCCTCCTACTAATATCCAGAAAGTTGATTGAGATCAAAATAGAAGAATTTTAAAACATTATAATTTAGTATTTAAATATGTTAACATAGTAATATATTGAGTTAATAAATAGTAAAAAACAAATAAAATAGGTTAGGGTTAGGCTACATTTGTATAATATATATATTAGAAGGGTGTCCCAAAAATATGAAGTTTTAAAATATTGATGTCTTACCCCATTAAATATGTCTGTATGGTAACAGTAATTTACATGCCAAATTTTAGCCCATTTGGACAATGTTTAGAGGTCCCCCAAGGGGTCGAAGGTTTCCGATTTTGGTGTTTAATCGTTCGCTACCAACTTTTGATACAGTGTTATATGATATGATTATAAATGTTTTATGATTTTTTTATACAAATGAAACAAAATATATAATTGTGAAAAAATATATAAATCTGCAATGCCTTTTATTTTTTAATTTCAAAAATTAGGTCAAAAATGATTGAAAAACAAGATTTTATTGAATTTCAGTTCGCTTGAATATTAATTAATGCAAATAATTCAAATTTTCGCTAGCAGTTCACGATTATATTCTGCAAAGTTTTTCCTATGCTGTTCAACTACTTGAAGCAAAAATTGTTTCTGCTCTGCGTCTTTGGTGATTGTTTCATTGAAATGTTGTACCAACGCTACTCCCCGTTCTGCAGAGTCATTGATGCAAACCAGATTCCTTACAAACACTGCTGCAACTTGGAAAGAAGGAGTATCTGAGCAGTTTTAACAAGTACATCAAGAAAACTGGCATCAATATTGGATGTTTCAAAAAATGTTTTAGACGCACGCAAATTGTCAAAACTTTGTGGTAGTGTTTTCATCAGATGTGGGCCTCGATCTGCTTGTATTGTGCGGAAAAGATCAGTCTTTTCTTTGTCAGACAGGAGAGATGAAAAAAGAGCAAGAGTTGCCAATTCTGGACTCATGTACCAAAAATGACGCAGCATCATTTTTAATCCAGTCGAATCAAGAACTGCATCGTCGTAGTCATGCAAACGCTGTACCAACAAAATATCATTCACAGGTGCATCAGCAGTGAGCCTGCATGAAAACCATGACTGAAGATAAACACAAATGATAAACCGATTCAAACGTTGAATACCTTGTAATTCTCGAGCTGTTAAGTTAAAAATGGTTTTATTTACGGTGAATAATAGTTCAATTTTTAATGCGTAGATGGCTTTTGCCATCCATCGTGCCCTGTGCAGTGCACCAGGTTTGCGAATGGCTACATCAACCTGCAGCCCAACTATTTGTGCAGCAAGAAGTAGAAACTCTAAATAGTCATCTCGTGAATGTCTGACTTTAAGTTGACATTTGATGAATGCTTTAATTGCATCTGAAACAATTATCAAAGGGATTGATCTGACTTCTGGTGTGTGATTCATTTCTGTCCATTTTTCACGAAACCTTTTGAAGAATAAAATTTCTGGTCCAGTGGATGGTCCAAGACAAACATTATATACATCGGCAAGCAGCACTTCAAACTTATGATGACGGCAAGTCATCCATAATAAATTACGTCCCATGGCTTTTTCTAGAAGAGTGCAAGCTCCATTGAGTTTTCCAGTATTGGAAGCTGTCGTGTCAAAGCACATGCCAATAACCATTGATTCACTTTTTCAAGATTTTATATGTTCATGAACTGCATCAGCAGCTGCTCGTCCTAATCAAGATGCTAACTTTGGAACTCCAAGAAGTTTTGTAGTGCCATCAACAAGTGATGAGAGCAGGACAGGTAACCAATTTACGTTGACCACACCAGTAATATAGCGAGTTGACTGGTTAAAAATATACATTTTTTGCATTCTCTAATAAAGATTATCATTCTACAGGTAATTGTTAATAATATTTTAAACTCTAATTAATGTCAGCAGTGAGATAATTAAACTAGTTTGCATTTCTAGCTTTATTTCACTCATTTTGTGCATATTGTTTAATATTATTGATATGGATTTTGAATTAACTCAATAGTAAAATTTTAAAAGCCCTTGGGGGACCTCTCAAACTTGTTCAAATGAGCTGTAACTTCACCAATTTAATTATTGTACCCAAGAGACACTTTTTAGAGGGTGAGACATCAACTATTTAAAAAAAAATTTCCGTGCATTTCTGGGACACCTTAATATATATATTTTATTTTAGTAGGAGGAGCTCATTTTACTCTCTATTGGAAATAGTGAATGTAAACAAACAAGGTAGGTCTGAAACTCAAGTTTTGCAGCAGTTTATTACACCATACATTTGTAAACAAAAATCAACAACAATTTAACTTTTAAAAATTTAAAATTTAATTGAGTGAATATTTGTACAAAAATGCTGAAACATCTGCTTATTTTAAACTTTATTTAAAAACTTATTTTTTTTTGTGCAAAAACGTATTTAACAGTAAAAGTGAAGCCATATATATTATATAATATGAATAATTTAAAATTTAAATGTAGTTAAACTGTTAAAGTGAAAAAAAACTACAAATTAGAATTTTTGACTTAAATGAATTTTAAACTTAGAACTTAAATGCTATGAAATGATTTCAATTTGAACGCTTTTAATTTTTGATAACATGAATTTAAATAAATATCAATATAATGTGCAGTTAATTTTTTTTATAACAAAATTTATCAAACATCATTCTGTGCTTTCAAACTGGCAATCTTATGTTTGGAACCTATCTTCATACCTGAAATAACTTTTTTATAGTTTTTAATTAAAGTATTTTTTATACAACAATATTTGCAATGTTTTGTGATTGTTTGATTGGTTTTTTTTTTGAAGGTTCAATTGGCTGAATATGAAATAGGCTATTCACATATTCAGCAAATTAATTCCAATCTCTGTTAATATTTTTTTATAATTGTTAATAATTTGATATGATTTTTTAATGCTATTTAATAAATATTTAAAATTATCATTGAAATGAAAATGTAAGGATTTTAATTCTTGCCCTACTGCCACCTATTTTGGATTTTTTCTTTTTAGTTTTATGACCGAATGGTGTATGTCATGTCAACTCAGACAAAGAAAAATATAAACTATTCTGGAATGGTCAAAAGACGGCCAAAAATGGTGTTGGAATTATTGTCAGAGAATCGCTAGCCCAAGAAGTACTGGATATTAAAAGGATTAATTCACGTCTCATGTGGATCAAGCTTCGCATAGAAAAGCAAACAATGATTATTTTTTCTGCACACTCACCACAGACAGGCGAATCAGAAGAGATAGAAAATGACTTCTGGGCTGCATTCTCTGACACCATCTCAACAATACCAAAATCTGAAACAATCCTGATTGGAGTTGATCTCAATGGCCACGTTGGAGAGAAAACAGATGGTTTTGACAACGTACATGGCGGTTTTGTCTATGGAAAACGGAATGAAGATGGCAACTGCATCCTTGAGTTTGCTGAAAGTCACGGGTTTTGTTTACTGAACACATATTTTAAAAAGAGGTTGGAACATCTCATAACATACAAAAGTGGACCATCAGCCACGCAAATTGATTTCTTCGCTGTCAAGCAACAACACCGAAGGCTATTCAAAAACGTCAAAGTTATACCTGGCGAATCATGTGTCGCCCAACATAGACTCCTTGTGGCAGACCTGGTTGTCGAACTGTCAAAACATAAGTCTAAACCAATGCCTCGGAGAATCAAAACGTGGAAACTGAAAAGCAATATTCATCGAGAAAAATTTTAACAGATTGTCGCCACACAGTTAGACCACCAATCGCAAGCCAGTACAGATTGGAGTACATACAAAAACCGTTTTGATGAAAGCTGCAACTACAGTTTGTGGGAAAACTGGTACAAAACGTTAGCATGAACGTGACACTTGGTGATGGAATGACAGTGTACAAAATGCAATAGCTGAAAAGAAAGTTGCAATGGCAAAAATCAAAGTCTGTTGATGACCATAAAATTTTCCGTGAGAAAAACAACTATGCAAGGCGTCAAGTTGCACTGGCTCGTACAAATCAGTGCAGAGAGTGACTTACTGAAAGCAATGGTGAACAAATGAAATCTCTATCGTATAACAAAACAAGCAAAGCGTACAAAAAAAGACATAGTTGGTGCCTTATGTATTAAAAACGACAAAATGAGATGGTTTTTGAACAAGATAAAATCAAGCTACTTGGAAAGAATACTTTAACCGTCTGTTAAATGAAACAAATCCCATCAATGCCAACTTTGACGCTCCACCCATCGAGCGTAGAGGAGCTTACCGAAGCTCTGAAGGCTATGAAGGATAAAAAGGCAGCAGGGCCCTCTGGACTCACAAATGACGTCATCAAAGCATCTGGTACTGCAGGTATCCAAACGTTACTACAACTTTGCTGCAAAGTGTGGAGAAATTGCTCAACGCCAACTGAATGGAACTATAGCATGACAGTTCCGCTATACAAAGGCAAAGGTGGTCCATTGAACTGTTCATCATATAGGAGTATACGTCTGTTAGAACACTCCCTGAAAATTGTCGAGAAAATTATTGAGAAAAGATTAACGTCGTGCATCACAATCAAAAATTGTCAATTTGGTTTCATAGCGGGGAAATGAACAATTGATGCAATTCACATCATTCGGCAACTGCAAGAGAAGTACCTCGCAAAGCATCAACAACTTTAAATTTAAACCAAATGGATACAACTGATCGCCTAACTTGGCGTAAAAAATTGATGGCAAAGAAAACAACGTCCTCCCTCGCGTGAACTGGGTCTCTGGACGCTAAACGATGATTGATTGATTTTGTAGATGTCTATTCCAGATTAACTTTTGGTTATTTCGTTATGTCTACTTTTACTATACTTTAATATTATTAAACTGTAATGAAAATTGGAAAAAATTTTTTTCAATTGAAATTAGCCTTTATTTTTGTTGCAGAAATGTTTTTTAACCAAGGGTGTGAAGACTGATGTGCAAATTCATTTCTATAATAATTTAGTTTTTGCAATAATAACACAGTCTCAAAACTTTGGAACGTTGGTATGTTATAAAATTATCAATATCAAATTTTTTATTTTGAATTATGGAAAGTTTGTTTGCATTAAAATAACATTGTTAAATTTATTGAGCCTATTGAATCTTAACTAAGGGGTCTAAAACTGAGTTGGCTCAAAAAATTAATTACTGGTTAAACTAAGGTGGTAAAGTAGGGTAGGAAAATAATTTATGTGATGAGCGGCTAGATGGTATTGGAATAAATTTTTGTTCTAAGCCGTTTGCTGCTTAATTTAGTGTAGATATATGAATAAAATAAAGAAGTGAGTTTACAAAATATCAAGGTTGAAGTTTTAGTAAATTGAGTTGGTTTCTTAATGCGCAACATTTGTATGCATCCTTTCTAATCGACTATGGACAAATAAATCAATCAATCTCCGTTTAGCATCCAGAGACCCAGATACCTCGAGGTAGGACTTTGTTTTTTTTGCCATAAATTTTTCGCGCCAAATTAGACGACCAGTTGTATCCATTTCATTTAAATTTAGAGCTTTCATGTCTTGCTCGATTGTTTGCGACCAGAACTTCTTTGGACGGCCTTTGCGACGTGTGCCAGGTATTTCAACATCTGCAAGAGAAGTTATGGCACTGTTTCCACTTCGTTTGACATGACAAAACCACCGCAGACGGTGTTGCCGGCATTCGTCCCTTATATCATCTAAACCAGCACGACGCAGAATTTCGGTAGATTTGATGTTGTCCTCAGACTAATTCGTTGCATCCATCGGAGCATTTTCATATCGGTTCGATGAAGTTGTTGTTCCAGTTTGATTGTCATTGGCCATGTTTCTGTACCATATAACAAGACCGGATGTATTACAGATTTATGAAGTCTTGATCGTAGTAAAAGTAGGATCAAGCCGCATCAATGTAGAGGCAAGGAGATGCCATTTATTCCAGACTGCACGTATGCGTGATCGAACGGTAGGCTTCAGCTCTTCCAATACAATCCAAAACATCCCCTAGATATTGAAACGATGTGACTTTTTTCACCTTAATGGCTTCAAAAACATTAGCTATTTCGAAACATTGCTAATTCGAATTTGTTGTTGTAGATTGATGCAAGCAGGACAAACAAAATTGGACACTTTAGATAAACTATCAATTATTTTTGAACAACGTTTGTGACACCACTGGCTACACTGCTGACACTTGATTGAATTGTTACCTACACCAGCTTTACAAACCGAACAGGGCCATCCTCCAATAGCTGTGGATTGGATGTGTTCACCATTGTTCATTGCTTTGGTTTTGCTGATGTTGACTTTGAATCCATGATTGGCGAGTCTTCAAACATCTGTGCTGCATTCTGCTCAGGCGTGGCTGTTAAAACGATATCATCAGCATATATTAGATTCCAAATGTCACCAGTGCGTCTCGGCTTTGTGATTTCTTCTATTACAGTTATAAATAACAATGGACTGAGAATCGAGCCTTGGTGAACACCAACGCCGATGTCAAATGCATCTGTGTTTCCAACCGTTGTGCTGACGAGAGTCTTAGTATTCGTATACATTTCCATCACAAGTCGAATAAGATATTCTGGAATGAGTTGTCGACGTAGACTCCACCTGATTGCTTTACGGAGAACTTCATCAAATGTTTTTTCAAGGTCTACAAATATGTGTGAAAAAAATAAATGATAATATATATTAGCCACTACAAATAATAAGGGATTCATTATCGAGAAAACGTAAACAGTCTGTTATTTGCTCATTGTTAATTATATTTATCTAACCATTTAAACCATCTCGCCAAAATTTTTACTGCTCAATCAAAATATTTTACACCGCATTGTTTTATACG